AATAAATAAATAAAACCTCTCAAAAAAAAAAAAAAAAAAAAAGAAATGAAAAAAGAGGCTGACAGTTCCTCAGTTAGAAATCATTCCTATATGATGTGGCAACTCCACTCAGATTTATATGCTAGAGTGGTGGAAATATGTGCCCATACGAAAATGGGCCCATGACTGTTCATAGCAACACTATTGATAATAACTCAAAAGTAGAAACAACTCAAATGTCCACCAACTGCTGAATGAATACACTCAATGTGGTATGCCCATTCAGTGAAATACTATTTGACAACAAAAAGGAACAAAGTACTGTAACATACCCAACATAGATGAACCTTGAAAACATTGTGCTAAGTGACAGAAGTTGGCCACAAAGGACTGTTGTTCAATGTGAACTATTGTATAGCATTACTCGATTTCATTTATATGAACTATCCAAAATAGGCAAATTCAGAGAGAGAAATTAGGGTTGAAGAGGATTAGGAAGTATCTAAGAGGTTATGGCCAAAGGGGTATTTTTTGGTTCTTTCCTGAGTAATGAAAATGTTACAAAATTCATTGTGATCATAGATGTACAACTCTGAATAAACTGAAAGGCATTGATTGTATACTTTAAACAGATAATTGCATGGTAAGTGGATTATTCTCAATAAAGCTGTTTGTAAAAATCAAGTAAATTAAATAGAGCAGACTGAAGATCCCACCTCACACTGTTAGAAGGACTATGACCAAAAAGATGAATGGTAACACATACAGAAGAGAAGGTGGATAAAAGGGAACATTTGCACACTGTGGGTGGGAGTGTAAATTAGTACAGCCATTATGGAAAACAGCACAGAGATGCCCTAAAAAAACTACAAACAGAACTACCAAATGATGCAGCAATCCCAATTCTACATATATATCCAAAGGAAATGGAAGTATGTCAAAGAGATCTCTGTTCATTGCAGCACTATTTCATGAGGGCCGAGACATGTAACCAACTCTAGTGTCCATCCGTGGATGAAGGGGTAAAGGGCGGATGGTGTATATACACGGTAGACTGGTATTCACCTTAAGAAGGAAGGATTCCTGTCCTTTGCAACAATATGGGTGAGCGCAGAGGACATTATGTTAAGTGAAACATGTAAGATATAGAAAGACAAACACTGCCTGACCTCCCTTTTATGTGAATCTAAAGAAGGTAAACTCAGAGAGAGTAGAATGGTGGTTACCTGAGATTTGGGAAGGTTGGCAGATGTTGGCCGGAGGTACAAAATTTCAGTCAGATGGGGTAAGTTCCAGAGATTGAGAATACAACACAGTGACTGTAGCTACTAATGTATTTTTTTTTAGAGAGATTTTTGCTATAAGGCATGTGTACTCACCAAAGAGACAGAAAGTGAGAAATCACCCCTCAGGAGAGATGGCCACACCACAATCCCTTCTTCATTCTCCTCTCAGGATTTTGGGCACATGAGCATATGCACCCAGCGTGAGTTTTAAGTTGCTGGGTGCTGGGTCTGGGGCTCAAACCACAATTTACTACGTGGGAGTCCAATGGTATGACTATTACATCATCTGCTGGTCCCCTAATAATGTATTATCAAAAAAAAAAACAAAACCAAAAAACTAAGACAGTAGGTTTTAAGTGTTCTTACACCCACAACTATTATAAATATGTAAGTACTGTATGTGTTAACTAGCTGGATTTAGACACTTCACAGTGTATATGTATTTCAAATGATGTATTCTACACATGATAAACATATACAATTTTAATGCCAATTAAAAAATAAATTAAAAACAAATACAAAAAAAATTAAATGAGAGAAACCCTGAGACTTCTCATTAATGTATCTTTAAAAAAAAAAAAAGTAGAGAGAAAAAAGCAACTCAGTGGAAGGAATAGAATAATATATAGGTAGATTTGGGATATCTGAAGATCCAACTCCTTTGGGCCAGGTGGTGGTACAGTGGTAAATCAACTGGATCCATATGGGAAAGGACCTACATTCGCATCCCAGAACCACCCTGAGCGTGCTGGTGTGCACACACATGTCTGCGATCCAGGCCAGCAGAGACTGGGGATGGATCACAGCATGGGAACGCTGTTGGAGATGTGTATCTGTCCACCTGTCTGTCTCTCTCTTTC